AAATTGCGCGGTGCGAGGTGGACACGGTAATCCTCGAGTCCGGCAATTTGTTCTATCACCGGGAGGGCGACCGTCTGTCCCAAGAAGGTGTCGGATTTATCGTCCACAGGTCGCGTACCTGATACTCAGAATCACCAAACGGTATTCGCTGAAGGTCATACAGGTTTATGCACCAACCTCGGCACATCCCGATGAGGAGGTAGAGGAAATGTATGAGGATATTTCTAGAGCCATGCATTCCTCCAAATCCCACTACACTTTGTTGATGGGAGACTTCAACGCGAAACTAGGCACAAGAGAAAGCGGTGAGCTGAAGTTAGGGAAATTTAGAGTAGGGTAACGGAACCGTAAGGGCCAGCAGCTGGCCGACTTTATGGAGAAAGAGGGACTCTTTATGATGAACTCTTTCTTCCAGAAGCGGCCCCACAAGAAGTAGATCTGGTCGAGCCCCGACGGTTCGACAAAAAATGAGATTGACTTCATTATGACAACCAGACGCCAACTGTTCAGTGATGTCTCAATGATCGCAAGGGTGAAAACTGGCAGCGATCTCCGAATGGTTAGAGGCACACTGAACCTAAATGTTAAGTTGGAGAGGTCTTGTCTAATGAAGTCAACGCTCCGTCTCCCTCGTGGTCTAATCCAGAATTCTAAAACATTTCAGCTCGAGTTACGTAACCGCTTTTGGTACCTAGAAGATTGTAATGCAGTGGACGATATTATTATTATTGTGGGATTATTATTATTATTTGGGGTATCTATATAGTTTTCTCATCTGGTTGGGTTATATAAATATATAATTATAAATTAAAATGAAATGATAAATATACATAAATATCAATAAAATAAAATAAATACAAAAATACATAAATAAATAAAAGCCCAACCAGATGGAAGCCCTCGGCAGGGGAGACCAAACGGCCGAGGGTTAGGAGGAAAGGGAAAGAAAGCGGCGGACGATGTGGGCGGTATCGAGGAGCACCGCCTTTTGCATTTGAGCCCGGAGCGGTCCGTCACGGAGTCCCAGTCGCCTCAGATGACCCGAGAGGCTGACTGGGATTAGCCCATTCGAAGAGACGACTACAGGAATAATTTCGGCCGGCAGACCACCCCACATATCGGTCACCTCGTGAGCCAGGTCCAGATATTTTGTTCGGTTATCGGATTATTATTATTATTATTACTACTTAACAGGCTAGCAGTTGAAACAACTGATGTAAGCCCGTATCCTATTTTCAAATATGTAATTATTCTTATTTTAGATGTTTGTCTAATCTGTTCTTGAATCGGTTAATAGTTTATGCAGATATTACTTCTGGATGCAGTTTATTCCATGCTTCAACCACTCTTTGGCTAAAAAAGTGCTTGTGTGGGTTGTTATGTGACACGGTTTTGGTTAATTTGAAGTGATATCCCCTAAGATGTGTGTTTGTTGAGTACTGGAATAAATCTGTCAAAATTTTCCAGATTGTAGTGTCCATGTATAATTTTATATGCTTCGATCAAGTCTCTCCGTTCTCTGCGATCCTTCAGTGTCGTTAGTTTAAGCTTATTCAACCTTTCTTCATATGGTATGTTTTTCAATACTCTAGGGACCTTTGAAAATCTATGTTGAACTTTCTCCAGTAACTCAATATCTTTTTTGAAATAGGGGCTCCAAAATTGGAACGCATACTCCAAAATAGGTCGAATGTAAGCCTTATGTATTTTTAGCATCATTTCTGGTGTAAGATGTCCGAAGGCTTTTCTAATCAGGTAAATAAAACTATTTGCCTTTTTAGTTATAACTGTTATATGATGATTCCATTTTAAATCGTTACTTATATTCACACCTAAGTCTTTTTGTACTTTAACTTCTTCCAAAGGTATATCATCGATTTTATGTATTAAACGAGGATTTCTGTTTCCTGTATGGAGAACTGTGCATTTATTTATATTTAATTTAATAAGCCACCTTTTTGACCATTCTGAGATTTTAATTAGATCTGCTTGAAGGTGATCAAAGTCTACCAGTGAGTTTGCGAATATCTTCGTGTCATCAGCGAACATACTTACATTACAACTCAAGCTTTTTGGTAGATCAAAAGTAAACAGTATAAACAATACCTCTCCCAGTACAGAACCTTGTGGCACACCGCTTTGTATTTCTTTTTCATCTGACAATGTGTCGCTAATCCTTACTCTGAAGGTTCTTTGTCGTAGAAAACTCTCAATCCAAGTTAACAGTTTCCCTCGAACACCAACAAATTCCAATTTATGTAAAAGCCTGCCTATTGGTACTTTATCAAAAGCTTTTTCGTAATCCAGATATATAACATCTATTGGTTCTCGATCATTTTAACTGTTGACCCAGGATGATAAGCAAGACATCAAGCTGGAAATCGTTGATCTATGAGGACAGAAACCATGTTGCTGTTTACCAATAGTTTGTTGTTTGTTAAGGAACTGCCTCATGTGCTTAACCCTTTTTAAGGCATCGGGAATATATTTCCCACCACTAATTTTCACATTATTAGTTAAGCAAATTTTAGGGAAAGATTTTTTTCCTATTGGCAACATTTTTATGGATATCCGGTCAACATTTTTCATCTATGGTAATGACACGTCGCCATTTTAGATTTTACACTGTGACGTTTGGAAGACTGAAATCGGGTGTGTTTCGGTATGACTTCTAAAATCTTTATAAATCTTTTATATCTGCGACTCATGAACGGTAAGTTGTTATTATTTCTAAAGCTTATTGTATATTTCATTGATATTCAAGCATATTTTCAATTCTACATTTTGCAGATTTTGTTAGTAGGGGCTTTTTGTGGTGGTAAAAATGTTCCCTTTGCCCGTGGAGCTGACAGTATGTATTGGTTGTTACAGATTTATATTTTGAAAATGAATGAAAAGGCACTGAATGACTTGGAAATAGCTTGTGCATTAGAAGAGATTTTTGGTTTACCTGATGATCCCGATGTGTCAGATGATAATTTGGAATCCGATGAAGAAGATGTGCAGTACAGTACAGTGAAACTTCAAAGAATTTTAGAGAGCCTTGATGAGCCTCATGATGGAATTCTAGCACCCACACCTGATCCACCTGATAGCCTTATTAGTAATATAAGTAATGCGTCTGTTGAAAACCAACCTAGTCCATCACCTCAACCAACCAACAGTGACCGGCTTAGGCGGGCAAGAATAATCCAAAATGCACCCAGTACTTCTGGCACTCAACAGACCTTACGGCGACAACCACAATCACCAGTAGCAAATACTAACTCAGATTCGGAAACAGATGATTCAGACGGCGAAGAGGAAACATGGAAAAAAACTATGTGGACAACTGATCGGCCAAGTCCTAGCGTTTACGATGAAATTCCGATGGAACCGGCAATTATGTTTAGCAGCCGTACTAGACCTGTAACTGTATTTGAAAAATTCTTCACTGATGAAGTCTACGATTTGATAATATATCAAACAAACTTATATGCAGAGCAAAGGAAAGATGAAGGATGGACACAATTAGATAAAAAAGAACTGAAGGCCTTTGTAGGGATTTTTATAATAATGGGATACAATATTCTGCCTTCTATTGACTTTTATTGGTCTTCCGACCCTGGTTTCAGGGTAGATGAAATAGCAGAGACTATGACCGTAAAGCGATTCAAGAAGATATTGCGAAATCTGCACGTGAATGATAATACACAGATACCAGATAAGACAAGCGAGAACTATGACAAACTTTACAAAATACGCCCATTATTGGATCTTATCACTCAGGCATGTCAGAAAAATGCCAAAGACTCCTCATCCCAAAGTATTGATGAATCGATGATTCTCTTCAAAGGCCGGTCTTCCATGAAACAGTATATGCCTCTAAAGCCCATAAAAAGAGGTTACAAGGTATGGTGTCGCTGTGACAGTAAAACTGGGTATCTCTATGAATTCTACATATACACTGGAAAATCAAAAACCGGAACAGAGGAAGGACTAGGATCCAAAGTTGTGAAGATGTTGACTGAAAAGCTGATAAATAAAGCACTGGAGGAATATCATATTATTATTACATTTGACAATTTCTTCTGTGACTACACTCTAATGCAATATCTATATGAAAATGGCATTTATGCTACAGGAACTGTACGAAGACACAGAAAACATCTGCCTGTACTTGTAAAAACGAATCAGAAGCTTGCAAAAGGACAATATAAATGGAGAGTCAAGGGAAATGTATCTTTCTTAGTTTGGCAAGATACCAAAGAGGTTCTCCTATTGAGTAATGCATTCCATCCAAAAGTTGGCAAAACCACTGTCTTACGGACTCAGAAAGACGGCACAAAACAAGAAATCAACTGCCCGTTAGCAATAAAGGAGTATACTAAAAGGATGGGAGGCGTTGATCACTTTGATCAGATAAAAAGTACCTATTCAGTAGGCAGAAGAAGTAGGAGATGGTGGGTCCGAATATTCTTTTTCCTTTTAGATACAAGTATAACAAATGCATACTTGTTATATTGCCAAAATAAGAATGCGACAAAACTAAGCAATCTTGAATTTCGAGTCTCTGTCGCTAGAGGACTGATCAGTGGGTTTTCCAGTAGAAAACGACGATCTGGTAGTTTAGTCAACTATATCTGCAGAAAAAAAATTGCTTCTGAGAATCGCCAAAAGGCAGTGCATGTTGTCGCAGAGGAAGTTCGTTTCACCAACGTTGGAGACCATATGCCCGTTGAATCGCCTTCATATAAACGTTGCAGAATGTGTAGCACAAAAGAAAAAGACAAAAGATCGAAAGTTATATGTGAAAAATGCAAAGTTCCGCTCTGCATAACACCATGTTTTACTGCATTTCATAGGAAAGGCTAGTTAAGGCGTCACGGGCAGCGGGAAAATATTTACCACCGTGTTTTTTTAAATTTTTGAATTTCTTATTTGCATTTTGTGAAAAACCATAATAAAAATAGTCTAAAACCATCAACAGTTTTACTTATCCACCCCTAGATGCTTATGCCTTATAAAGGGTTAACTATTATCTTTTCCATGACTTTGCACACCACACTAGTTAAGCTTATCGGTCTATAATTTGCAGGATCTAATTTGTTTCCCTTTTTGTAAACAGGAGTCACTAAAGCCGTTTTCCATAAATAGGGCAAAACTCCTTTGTCGTATGATTTTTGTATTACTGATGCTAGGTAACTATCAATTCCGCAGTTCTTTAAAACATGTACGGGTATTTCGTCGGGGCCAGGTGAAGAGTCTATATTCATTTCTTTGATAGCAGCTTGTACTTTGGATTCTGTGAACATGATGGCCTCTATAACTTCAGTTGCTCTTAGGTTTGGGTCAAGCGCAGGAAGTTCTTCTAGTGGTTCTCTTTCAAATACATTAGAAAAATGTTCTGCAAATACTTCCGCTATGTCTTTAGAACGTGTCACAGATTGCCCATTACTGTTCCGTAAAATTTTTGGTGTACTAACTTTAGAGGTGATTTGCTGCCTGATGTACGATTAAATTTCTTTAATCCTAGATCTAATAGTTGATTCTCGTACACTGCCCTTGCAGTGCGCCTTAAATTAGTCAGTTTGTTATTTAGCTTCCTGTATTCCTTATAGATTTTATCTGACCCTGTTACAGTATATCTCTTCCAAAGAATTTTTTTTTTCTCTTATTAACTCAGATATGTCATTTTTTATCAATGGTTTATTTACTTTCTTAAATGTTTTTACAAGAGGAACATGTGTGTCTATGGCATTATTTATTGTTTTATGCATTATTCTAAACAGTTCAACTGGACAAAGTACATCTTTAAACATTTTTTTTAAGCCGGAGTGAATTTCTTCTTTGATTTTGTTGTAGTCTCCTTTATTAAAGTTCTTTTTAGATTTAGATTGCTGCCTATTCTGTTGTTGTGTTTGTAACTGTATAGTCAATACTAAGCATGCATGATCGCTTTTCCCAATTGCGGCCTCGTAATTAATTCCAACTATCAAAGACTCATCGTTTATCAAGATTAGTTTATCGTTTATCTAAAGTAGATGGCTGGTGACCCTGGCGAAATATCGTATATTGATCTACCAATTGGTATAGATTGTTGTTGTTATACCATTGCAAGAAATTGGTTTCTTTTGGCAGTAGATACACACAATTTGAAAGTGGCCACTTGACTCCACCAAAGTTAAAGTCACCCATTATTATTACTGTGTTTGACTGGGAACCCAGTTCTAAATTTTGTAGAAGCAAGTTGTCATGATCGATAGTTGATTCGTGCCCTCTATATTTTTTTTTATTTTATAGGATAGGGTGACAATCGAGCACACAGTCCACCTGATGGTAAGTGGTTGCTGTGGCCCATAGACATCTACATCTATCCTCGATTATGAATCAAAATGCAGATGCGTTGTCACCCGTGAGGACTAAGATGGAATGCCTCGTTTCCAGTAAAATGGGTCGCCGGTTCTCTACACTCACCATACGAAATACAGCAGCATTAAGCTACTATTTCACGCTGGTATTCTGTGAGAGCGTGGTCCTTCCCCGGTCGAGCCGACCCATTCGTGCTACAACTATACATCTAATATAACTGCAGCATGGCTCTACCACGTATAAGTACCACGTATAGTCCACATAACAGTATTCTTTGAAAACCTACTTCAATGTCTACCCATAAACATTCCCAAGAGTCATACTTCGTATTATACTGACTATTTCGCTTTGATGTCATATATGTAATATTGTTCAATACATAAATAGCGACTCCTCCACTTCGTTTATCAATACGATCGTCTCTGTATAATTCGTAACCCGGTATCTTTATCAGTGAGTCAGGTATATTTGGTTTTAGCCATGTTTCTGAGAGGACTATAATTGATGGTTTTAGTTGATCAACTCTTGCAATGAATATATCCAGTTTAGATGTTATCGGTTGTATGTTTGTGTATAAGATTGTTATTGTTAAGAGTGCGGAAGGTATCGGAGATTGCGTTTTTTATTAAAAAGATTTACTAGTGAGAGTTGGTGAATTTGGACTAGTTTTTTATCTCGTTTACAGATAATTTTAGGCTGCCCTTGTATATACTTGATAGTCAAGCCTTGTTCTCCATTATTAGTACGTTTCTCTAATTCATCACGGAGGTATTTTAAGTACTCGCGTTGCATGGTAGTTTGGTCTGATTTAATAATTGACGGTTTATCCAGTTTAGTTTTGTTACGAAGTATCTCAATAGCATCATTCTTAGACTTCATTGCCATTTTAATGGGACGAGGAGGAGCCCCAGCTTGAAACTTACCAAAACGAAATAGTTTCACATTATCACATCTAACGTTTTTGCTCACACACGTTATTATTTTCCTGCTTTCCTCTTTATCATGCTCCTGCTTTTGTAAAACTTTATCCTAGATTGATTCTGGTATATCGTAAATTATTATATTGTTAGCTCTCTTAGTGCGCTCAGCCAATTCTTGTATTGCTCCTTCAGTTACAAGCATGTTTTGACGTAATCGCAAGTGGTGTACTTCTTTAGTAAGTTCCTCCAGTTGTTTCATTATATTTCTATAGTTCGCTTTCATTGTGAGAACCGGAAATCAATGATGTAAAAGAAATATAGAATTATGAAGGTAGATTTTAAAAGTTCGTAATTCACGCGAATAGTTTTTTTCAAAGTTTTGCACATTAAGTTTATAATTACAGTGAGAAAACACTAGCACTAAACATCTTTAGCCTGCCTCATATCTTGATTGTACTTTTATAACATGGAACACACTATTTGAATTTATTGGTACCAAATCATCAACAGCACTTGTACACACAACCACTTCAATTTGACACTTTAAATAAAAAAAATATATGAATGATAAGCTCGTGGAAACTGTCCATACGGTCGGAGCTAAGTTCTATAAGACCGGCCGCAGAAGAACACAAAAACTCTCCGATCACACTCTTAATCTCATGGCTGTTAGACGGGAGATGAGGCTACAATCGTCAACAGATTTGACAGCATACAGGCAACTGAACAGACAGATCTCCAAATGCATGCGGTGAGACTTACGAAAATTTAATACTGCTCGTATTGAAGAAGCGATTGAGCGGAACCAGGGCTCCAAAGTCAGTTGCCAGATATCTGTCTGCCAGTAAGAGTCAACTGTCAAAGCTGAAGACTGAGTGTGGCAGCATCGTTTCGGGGACACCTGACATTCTGAGTGAGATTGAGAGGTTCTATGGGCAGCTGTGCACAACATCGTTGGAGCCACACGCAAGTGTGAGTAACGATCGAAGAGCAAGTCTTATCCGACACTATTCCGATTATATCCCGGATGACAGTCTGAGCGAGATTAGAATGGCTCTCCAGCACCTTAAAAACGGCAAGTCCCCGGGTGAGGATGGAATTACAGCGGAGTTTCTGAAAGCGTGTGGAAAACCGGTACTTGAAGTCCTTCAGAGGCTCTTTAATACCGTCCTCCATGGCACTACTCCGAAGGCGAGGAGCAGTGCGGTGGTCTTGTTCTTCAAGAAAGGTGACAACGCCCTCTTGAAGAGCTACAGACCGATATCCCTTCGGAGTCATTACGAATCGTCTCGCACGCGGACTCGACGACTTCCAGCCTCCCGAACAAGCCGGTTTCCGAAAAGGCTTTAGTACCATAGACCACATACATACTCTTCGAAAAATTGTACAGAAGTCCGAAGAGTACAATCTGCCACTTTGCCTGGCGTATGTGGACTTTGTGGAAAAAGCCTTTGATTTCGTCGAAATTTGGGCGGTGCTACAGTCTCTTCAGCGGTGCCAAGTTGACTGTCGGTATATCGAAGTGCTGAAGTGTTTATACAGTAGGGCTACGGTGGCTATTCGAGTACAAAACCAGAGTACGAAACCTATCCAACTGCAGAGAGGTGTAAGACAGGATGACGTTACTTCCCCGAAACTCTTCACCGCTGCATTGGAAGACGTTTTCAAGCTACTGGACTGGAAAGAATACGGTATTAACATCAATGGCGAGTACATCACTCACCTTCGATTTGCCGACGATATAGTCCTTATGGCAGAATCGCTGGAGGACTTAAGCACTATGCTCAATGACCTCAATATTGCCTCCCAACGGATAGGTCTTAAGATGAACATGGACAAAACAAAGATCATGTTTAATGTCCATGTCACATCTATGCCGATAGTTATTGGGAGCACTAAAGTCGAAGTTGTTGACGAGTACGTATACCTAGGACAAATAGTCCGACTAGGTTTTTTTTTTTTTATAGAAGAGGGGGCAAACGAGCATGTGGCTCACCTGATGTTAAGTGACTACCGCCGCCCATGATCAACCGCAACACCAGGGGAATTGCAGGTGCGTTGCCGGCCCTTTAGAAAGGAGTAAGCTCTTTTCTTGAAGGTCCCCAGGTCGTATCGGTCCGGAAAAATCACCGGTGGTAAATTATTCTACAAAGAGGTTGTACGCGGAAGAAAACTCCTTTTGAAACGTACAGTGGTGGACCGCCAAGCATCCAGATGGTGTGGATGGTATCGGGACGTTTGCCGTGTAGTGCGTTCACGAAATTTGGCGGCTGGGATTAATCCGAACAATTCCTCAGAACACTCCCCGTGATAGATGCGATAAAATACGCAAAGAGATGCAACATCTCTTCGCAGCGCCAGTGAATCGAGCCGATCGGAAAGCACTCGGTCGTCGACGATTCGAGCCGCTCTGCGCTGGATGCGGTCAAGTGGAAGGAGCTGGTACTGGGGAGCCCCAGCCCAGAGATGGGAACAGTATTTCGTGTGCGGCCGAACCTGCGCCTTGTAAAGTTGCAGGCGGTGTGCCGGCATGAAATACTGTCCCGCTCTGCTGAGCACGCCAAGCTTTTTAGAGGCCAATTTGGCCTTCCCTTCCAAGTGACCACGAAACTGCACGTCACTCGATATGTCGACGCCGAGGATTCCGATACTGGCTGAGGCAACAAGGGGAGTGCCTTGAAACTGAGGGGATACGGCAAAGGGGTTCTTTTTAGCGATTAACGCGCAAACTTGTGTCTTCTGGGGGTTAAACTGGACTAGATTTAGTCTCCCCCAATCCGAGACTCTGTCCAGCAGAGACTCGACTTCAGACACAAGTTTGTCCCGGCACTCAGAGAAGTTTTCCCGAGAAATATTGGCTCGGCCGGTGTAAAGAGCATCACCAGTGCTGTCATCTGCATAGCAATGAATGCTACGGGTTTGCAACATATCATTGATATGCAGAAGAAACAGCGTTGGCGATAGCACACAGCCCTGTGGAACACCAGCATTAATAAGCTTGCAATCGGAGCTTGTACCGTCTACAACGACCTTGATGCTCCGATCTGCAAGAAAACTGGTGATCCAATCGCACAATTTCTCGGGAAGCCCATAGGAAGGGAGCTTCGAAAGAAGCGCTTTGTGCCAAACCCGATCGAAGGCCTTCGCAATGTCCAAACTAACGGCCAATGCCTCCGCCCATCTGTGAGTTAGGTAGAACAGAAGATCACCAGCTGACCGACCACGGCGAAAACCGTATTGGCGGTCACTAATCAGCTGGTGATCCTCAAGGTACCTCATGAGCTGGCAGTTTACAATGGACTCCATTGTTTTGGAGAACAAGGAGGTGATGGCGATAGGCCGGTAGTTGGACGGGTCTGAGCGGTCGCCTTTTTTAGGGATCGGGTGGACGAAAGCCGTCTTCCATGATTTTGGGACTACGCCTAGGGAGTAGGAGTACCGGAAAAGACGCGTTAAAACCGGTGCCAACTCTGGAGCACACGTCCTCAGCACAATTGGGGGGGATTCCATCAGGCCCACTTGACTTATGGATGTCCAGGGAGAGTAGTGCTTTGCGAACCGAGCGCTGAGTGAACTGCACTTCCGGCATGGAGCACTCATACCGCGGGATGGTCGGCGGCGTACTCCCCCCGTCATCGAGAGTCGAGTTAGACGCAAAGAAAGAGCCTAGAAGATCGGCTTTCTCCTTTGCGGTGTGGGCCAGTGAGTCGTCCTCCCTGTGCAGAGATGTTATGTTTGTTTTATGTTAGGTAAGTCTAACTTCGACCGAGAGGTCAATCGACGGATTCAACTCGGCTGGGTAGCGTTCGGGAAATTATGACACATCTTCTCGTCAGGTATACCTCAAAACCTGAAAACTAAGTTGTACAACCAGTGCGTGTTGCCAGTGATGACCTACGGAACCGAGACGTGGTCCTTCACTGCTGGCCATATGAAGACGCTCAAAGTCGCTCAGCGAGCTATGGAGAGGGCTATGCTCGGAGGTTCTCTGCGTGATTGAATGAAATTGAATGAAACTTAGAAATTAGGATATCCACAGTAGAACCAAAGTGACTGACATAGCCCAACGGATTAGTAAGCTGAAGTGGCAATGGGCCGGCCATATAGCTCGAAGAACCGACAACCGTTGGGGAAAAAAGGTTCTCGAGTGGTAGCCTTGTACCGGTAGGCGAAGTGTAGGGCGACCCCCTACTAGATGGAGTGACGACCTGGTAAGACATGCGGGAAGTCGATGGATGTAGGTGGCTCAGGACCGTGCTTTGTGGCATTACTTGGGGGAGGCCTATATTCAGCAGTGGACTTGTGAAGGGCTGTAATGATGATAATGATGATATAAGCAGGAGTGCTCCCAAGCCTTTTTTGAAGCGACAGTAGCCTAATGGCAGGGCGCGGACCGCGAACTCAAAAAGGTCGTGGTTTCGAATCCGCCATTCGACTACTGGCGTGAACCACTCGTAACACAAGCAATTTAAGCTTACCACGAGTGGTTAAGTAGAGGTTAAGAGGTAATTAGTAAGGTTTATAGCATTGTTAATATTTTTTTTATAGAAAAAAAGACTGGGCTGACCCATCAACGTCCCGGGATATAAACACCAGCGCTCTAAAAAAGAAGTATAATTCCGCTTCCAGGTCCTTCCAAAGAGTTACTGCCAAGGCAAAGTCAGAGCACATAGGCAGAATTGGCGAGAAACTAGTTCGCATTCCTTCTGGAACCCGTGCATTCTGGTCTCTTGCCAAGGCTGTCCAAGGGAATTTCTGTTAGCCATCTCTTCCATCTCTGCACAGGGAGGACGACTCACTGGCCCGTGCCGCAAAGGAGAAAGCCGATCTGCTGGGCTCTTTCTTTGCGTCCAACTCGACTCTCGATGGCGGGGGTACGGGGGGACGGGGAGGAGTATTTCGCCAACCATCCCGCGGTGTGAGTGCTTCATGCCGGAGGTGCGGTTCACACAACGCTCGGTTCGCAAAGCACTCCTCTACCTGGATATCCA